TCTGGGACCTTTTGAGGAACAGGACAGCATTGTCAACAGTGACAACAATTCAAAAGTATTAATGGGCTATGAATTGCTTTGGCACATCAAGGTTAAAGGCACTAAGATTTTATTCAGTTTTCATATTTCATTCCTCAACTACTACCAAAGGCAGAGTTCAACAGACCGATGTACACAATCTTTTCATGATCAGCATCCAAATGGTTGGTCTTCATTAAAAGATGGATAATTTTCCTACTTGCCCTCATTTCCCTACTAGGATTACTTTAGGCAATGATGACAAAACATAGTCAAATAAGCAGAAAATCAGAAAGGCAAGTTAATAATCGAACAGAATTTTCATTGGTAGCAGCATTCTATGGCCATTTAATTGCTTTATAAAACTTTATTGAAATCTACTACAACTTTGACAAGGAAGTAGGTGAATTCCAATACAACATTTCTAGCATTGTAGAAGTGAAAGGACTACATGCTGTCACCAGCCATTCAGCATTTGGCACTGAGTGAAGGCAGAACAAAGCTAGCTGTAAGAAGACAGAGGGTGGTGGTTGATGGGAAATGTTCATCCTGGAGTTCAGTTACTAGTGGTGTACCTCAAGGATCTGTTTTGGGGCCACTGCTGTTTGTCATTTTTATAAATGACCTGGATGAGTGGGTAGAAGGATGGGTTAGTAAATTTGCGGATGACACCAAAGTCGGTGGAGTTGTGGATAGTGCGGAAGGATGTTGCAGGTTACAGAGGGACATAGATAAGCTGCAGAGCTGGGCTGAGAGGTGGCAAATGGAGTTTAATGCGGAAAAGTATGAGGTGATTCACTTTGGAAGGAGTAACAGAAATACAGAGTACTGGGCTAATGGTAAGATTCTTCGTAGTGTGGATGAGCAGAAAGATCTCGGTGTCCATGTGCATAGATCACTGAAAGTTGCCACCCAGGTTGTTAGCGTTGTTAAGAAGGCATACGGTATGTTAGGTTTTATTGGTAGAGGGATTGAGTTTCGGAGCCATGAGGTCATGTTGCAGCTTTACAAAACTCTGGTGCGGCCGCAGTTGGAGTATTGCATACAGTTCTGGTCACCGCATTATAGGAAGGATGTGGAAGCATTGGAAAGGGTGCAGAGGAGATTTACCAGGATGTTGCCTGGTATGGAGGGAAGGTCTTATGAGGAAAGGCTGAGGGTCTTGAGGCTGTTTTCGTTAGAGAGAAGAAGGTTAAGAGGTGACTTGATAGAGACATACAAGATGATCGGAGGATTAGATAGGGTGCCCAGTGGGAGCGTTTTTCCTCGGATGGTGATGGCTAGCACGAGGGGACATAGCTTTAAATTGAGGGGTGATAGATATAGGACAGATGTCAGAGGTAGGTTCTTTACTCGGAGAGTAGTAAGGGCGTGGAATGCCCTGCCTGCAAAAGTAGTAGACTCGCCCACTTTAAGGGCATTTAAATGGTCATTGGATAAACATATGGATGATAATGGAATAGTTTAGGTTAGATGGGCTTCAGATTGGTTTCACAGGTCGGCGCAACATCGAGGGCCGAAGGGCCTGTACTGCGCTGTAATGTTCTATGTTCTATAAAGCATGATTGGGAAAAATACCTACCTAAATAACCAGGTTCCAAGTAGTGCCTAGTCACATGAGAGACAGGTTAAGAAAAAGAGAGAGAGACAGGTTAAGAAAAAGAG